ACTCGAGGGCTTCCCTTGCGTGGCGCTTGGGGGTGTCCTCTTCCACACGCGACATTCCCCAGGGAGAAGGGGCACCAAGCAGGTGTATGGTGGTGGGAAATATAGGAACAACACGCGTGGCTTTCCTCGGAAAGCGTCAAGAGACAGGTAGATACTCAATCCTGAAATAGCCGAGAAACTTAGGGCGGGAGGTGCTTGTGACCGTGAAGGACAGGGCTTGTGACCCAGCCAGTCGGTTCCAGTCTTCTGATCCGATGAAACCAACGGTGAATTATGTCCGGCAGAGGTAAAGGACTTTTTTGTTCTGTTTCCTTATTTTTTGCAGGTAGTTCTTTGTTATTCAGTATCAAATGTTGCCGTTCATGTAAAATGGTTGGAGACGGTGATAAAAGCCGCAGAATCATCAAAATCTCCAGGCAAAGCTTGTAAATCTCTGGTCCGTTGCATATGCCCTGACCAACTTTTTCATTCTGCATCCGAGTGTTAAAGAAAAATCAACCGCCAAATCATGCAAACAACTGACAGAAAACGTATAATTGTTATCACCATAAATTTCTGTAAACCCCTCTATCATCTCGGAAAGAATCGTAATGCCAGCCGAGCACATTACTATAAAGCACGAGGAAAAATAAGGAGAGTGCAGGCTGTAACGATCGCTCCGTTTGCGTGGGATCCCCAGCTGGTGGTCCACAAAGTGAAACCACTAGCTACAGGAGGGACCCCCAGATCTGCAGACTCAACACTCCAGTCACAAACTGGAATCAGGTCCTCTTAACTCAGAAAACCTCCTGTTGAACTTGGTGGGAGTCCTGCTTGGGAGTGCTCGGCCGTGGGCTTTGGGTAAGGCCCCGCAATGCTGTCTCTCTTTGAGCTGCAGTTTTATCACCAGCTTGACATTCCAGGATGGTTTTTTTTAATATCTTCAAGATTTCTGGTAATAATGTTTTATAAATGATGCTTTCTTTCCTCATGGGCACTTGAAATGCCTTTTAAAACGATGTTCCTTGGAAAAGTAAATTTGGAGACCTTTTTTATGAGGTGTTTGCTATCATTAGAATAACCCTGAATTTGCCTTTGCTTGACAGGCTTGTAACATAACGAGGGAAACATCTGGGCAAGTGGGAGCTCTGGGTGATGCCTTTTCCCTGAAGAGCTCTTTTTAGAGCCCTATTGTAAGGTTAGGGCTTAAAAACAAGAAGAAAATCAGATAATTATCCTAGAGTATTATCAGTGTAGTTGGCTGTCTTGCGAAAATCTGTTGATTGTTGACTTCAACAATTTTTTCTGTCCGGTGATTTTTTTACAGGTGACTTAGTAAAACTCTGTGCCTTTAAGCATCATGATAGCTTTAGCAGTTCGTATTTTCATCATGTTTTGCCATTTGTAGAATTGAAATTCTTATATACTTCCCAACTGAATTGATTCTGCAGTTATGTATTTGAGAGACTGTGTCTGTACAAGACATTATGGGAGGAAGGTCTATTGATTAGAGCAATCACTTAAACAGATGGAAGTTATCAATTTTCTGGTTTTATAACTTTCATGGATTCTATTGCTAGCTGGAAAATACTGTAACCTAGAAAATTGTGCTCTGACGGGCAGATGCTTCCATTCAGAGCATCACAGTATAGATCTTGTTGGCAAGTTTGCATGGGGGGGTCTTCAGATTTTGGGGCTTCTTGGGCTGTTACGGTGGCAGATGGTGAAGTGAAATGCAAAATCCTAGTGCGTTGCATTCCCAGGTAAGGAATCCATGTGGAAAGCAAACCCAGATTTGTTGGTATAAGCAAATGGAAATCTCTCAGGTTGCTATCGCTTATACTAAACTAAAACCTGTTGGTTTTTCTGTCTTGGTAGGTCTATGGAGAGAAAAGGTTGTAAGGACTGATTAGGTCAGTTTTTCTTTTGATGAAACTTCATGTGACGAAGTCTGTTGCGCACATTGTGGCAAATCCAGGAAAGAGTAATCTTTGCAGCAACTGTTTATAAACGTATTTTGACAAGGCAAACTTGTATAAAAACAAACTGGCTATTATCAAATGCAGAGTGTGGTATTTTAGGACTTAGGCAGTCTGTTTGCACAAATGAAGTAGTCAGAATTTGATCCTGTGTGTCTGAAAGAAAATCTGGAGTGTTAGTTCCAAAAAAAAAACCCAACGCAATCACCAAAAACTTAGCACATCCTTGAGCCTTGTTACATAAAACGGATTCAGGAGGAATCCTTAGTAATCTTAAAACGTTGTTGGAGATTTAAATAGGCTCAAATAGAGACTTGTATGCACTTGAAGTCTGATTCATTAGGGGAGGAAGAGCTTCTCTTTCTCCCATCCCTTGGTCCTTCAAATGAAGGAAGGATTTTGGAGGATAGGTTTTGATTTCTTTTGGTTTTTCAGTTATGTTAACCCCTGCAATTAATTAGACTGATAGATGAAAGCAATCCAGAAAAAGACTTCAATCCTACCGTTAAACTAGTTATTTCTTCCTCCCTCTTCCTTTTACTTTTGATGCCCTTCCCTGTAGTGTGCGTGTCTTGAGTTCCCAGATGTCTGGGATCGTGTTGTACCGTTGTGACTGGCCGGAATGGAGCAGCAGTGAGGAGAAAATCCTGACGTACTCTGCTGGTCCTCTTCGGGATGGGTGAGAGCCAGGCACAGGCTTTCTCGGTTCACTGCTGCAGAAGTAGGCACTGGACCTCCGCACTGCTGCAGTTCCATGCTGCTGTTAGAATTGGTCTGTGGTAATGTAAAGCAATGTGAAGTGGGAAATCCGGATTGGAGTTGTAAAATATCTTGCAGTTTTGAGTTATGAGAGGGAGTCAGCCTTTTGTTTCTCCGTCAGATTTTATTCCCTCCGTCCATCTCTACCAAAGAAAAAAAGGAGAATTGGGGAGGGGCGAGATTTTGGGTTTTTTTCCGGTGAGAGCTCTATTAAGTATAATTTAGTTAGCATCCAGAGACTATTCTGGAGTATATTTACGAAATAAATAAGTACAAACTTTTGCTTCTGAATAAGAGCAAATGTAGCTCTATTAAGAGATGGAGAAATGCTGCTTAGGTATATTTTTGGTTTTTTACATAGTTCTAAAATGAAAGGAAGGCTCGAAGATAAATTTTGAAAGATATTTGTAATACTTTACGATGCTCTAAAATCTGTGCTTACGTTCTGAGAGAAAATATTTCATCGAGAAGTTTATTCCCATCACTGCTAATTTTCCTGTAAGAGGCCTTGCACACCAAGAAATACAGTGTTCCCACATCAAGAAAAACGACCTTGTAAATGTAGTAACAGGGCCACCAACAATATATGCCGTAGCACACGAAGTCAATTCTCCACCGCAGTACTTGCAGGAGCGTTACATTAGCTTGAAAGTCAGTAGTTGTGTATAAAGCTGGAGCCCTGTAAGAGAACGAGATCTGAAAAGAAGCACAGTGCTGTAAACAACTTTGTGCTTTTAATCTCCTTGCTCCTGTCCTTACCCCCCTCCTCAACAAGCATGCAAGCAATCACAGCATCTCACAAATGTTCTCTGAGCCCTACCAGAAGAAACACATTCTGCTGGTTATAAACGGGTGCACAAAAGTCGCTCTCCAAGCCGTGTGAGGAGTCCTGTACAGAGCTGAGCTCTTAATTTGCTCCTGAGATCCACAGCTCAACACGATGAGAAGTTCAGAAATGGCGTGCTGTCTGTTACCTTTGCTGGGGTGCATTTCGATCTCCTTAACGTTTGTGTGTTTCTGCTGCCCCTTGTACTGGATTCAGGAAAATCACAAAATGATCTCCGGTCAGATACAGTGGCGTATGTCAGTTTTCTGGCTTTCTCAGTTTAAGTAGGACTCAAGCTGTTTACTTTGGGAGAGTTTTCGTCTGAGTTTTTTTAAAGCTTATTTGAGCTCTGGAGCTTTATATTTGGTTAGTCCTGGTAGGAACTGATTATCTGAATCATCTTTGAAAAACTGTCAATTCAACGTTTTGCATTCACGTTTTCCAGACTGTCCACAGCCTAGATAAGATGCCAATACGTGGATGTACATCATATGTTTAATACGAGCGCTAAATCCTTCTCTGCCTTAAGACCAGTTTATACATTACACAAATAACTTTCAGAGCAGGTGGCTTGTGAGTGAAGCAGGCTGATTCTCTGAAAACCAAAATCTGGTTTGGTGCGGTTGTTACTCATCACGGAGGATGCTGTTTCATGCTTTTTGACAGTGATAGTAAAACCTGCCTGCTCTCAGCAGGCTTTGCTATATAGGTTCTTAGCTAAAGCTCACCCTTACCATTAGCATATGTTCTTCCAGTTATGCACTAAGCTTTAACGAATGACTTAGACCATATGCAGTTCATTCTCTCATCTCCCAAGGGAGAGAATTATGTGTAGTCTTTAGTGGTTTTGCTAGTGGGCTGTGGTTTGTTCCGGGATCTAGGGGGAAGGAAGGGTGATTAGCTTTACGTGTGCTGCTGCTACATGCATGGAAGCAAAGGATAAAACGGGAAACAAGGGTGAAGGACTGAGACGGCTGCTCTGAGCAGAGGACCACTTGCTGTTGTCTGTTGCTCCCAGGAGAAATTCTTCCACCTTCCAAACCTGGCTCCAGGAAAACTCCAGAAAGTATTAAGTAAGCTTCTCTTGGCACGCACCACTTCGATTCATTTCCTAGCAAACTAAAGCATGCCTGGTGGAAAAGAGCTACCACCCCTTCAGGGTAGGATGTGGGAAGCTTTTTTGTATCTCAGACTACTGCAATAATTTAGAACACTGGAACGGTGTATGTAGTGAGGGCTGCAAGGAGCGATGTCAGGCAGGTACGGATGTAACTTCCTGCACTGGATTTCACCAAGATGCTTGGATGAGGCATATTTTGCCGAACTTCTCTTCAGCTCAACAGCTAACAATTACTGTACTGCTCATCTTGGATCATCACTGATAAGTACCTGGCATGACATCACAGGGTGCCTCTCAATTTTGTCTTGGTAACTATAGCTCAGAGCAGTTTTTTCCCAACACTTCATATAGAAGAGCCTATTGGAGTTCTTAATTTATGTTTTGAGCAAGATTCAGCATCATTTTCCAGCTCTTTATAGTACTGGGGTATTTGTATGAAAAAAAGCAGAGTGTATGTAGTTCTAAATTCTTTCTGGGCCATCATGGTGTCTTTATGTCCATTCGGATGGCTGACTCATGGTAGCAAAAGGAGTCATAGGTTTGAGTCTGCATCCTGAGAAGGTCTAGAGCTGTAGTAGTGATCACCCTTGGTGACAATGAGAGTAGAGAGACAAGGCATGGATACATAGAGATCCTGGAAGGAGCTGGGTTGGTATTTTTCATGTTGGTTCATCTAACTTGGACAGTCAGCACTACTTCTGGAGTAGCTTTCATTTTGAGGTCTTCATTGATCATGTAGAGAAGTTTGTTCTACACAGGAAGAACACAGCTGGTCCATGACAGCTATAACGGCGATACAACCACACTGCTACTGACCCCTCGCTGTTGCCTGACCGGCACAAAAATCCCTCCTTTGCTCCTCCAGCTTCGGTTGTCAGCCCTTAGGTTCAGTCACATTTCCTTGCTCTGTCCTTTCGTGATGCCAGCTGTCCACAAAATCAGGAAGCCCGGAGTTGAAGCTCTGCTGTTGCTCTTTATGACCCCAACAATTTCACCATCATTTTTTGTCTGGAGCTGGTCACTGTGTACTCCCTTGTGATTTTTAACATACATGTTATGACCTGCTAATAGGTAACGGAGCCCTGGTGCTTAAAGCTTCAGCATACTAACCTTCTTGACACCTTGCTCTGCTGTGGAATTCTTTTGCTGGGGACACATCTGTTTAACCAATCCACGTTACATTAAATATAAGTTGGGAACCATGTTTCGAATTCAGCAGTTGTTCTTCTGTCTCTACTCCTATCTACTACATGTCGTACTTTTCTTATGCTTACATTCTTCCGAGTCATCATTTTAAAATCCTGAAATGCACTCATACTTCAAATATAAATGCAGACAATGTACGTTTCCTTACACAAGCGTAAACTAAGAAATTGAAGCAATGTAGTTTTTCTTTGTGGTTATATCCTGAAAGTGTAGCGGTAGACAAAGATATAGCAGCTTTGGCAGGTTTAACTGTCAGAGTTCGTTGCTTTATGCTCTTCTGTGTGTTTTGCCAGTCTGCCTTGCAAACAAATGTGGTAGTACCCAGTTGTGCCTCCTTTGTTCTGTTCACAGTGTTGTTTAGTGCTTGTTTGGCCTTTTTGTTATGATTCCTATCTTGCTGTCTGCTTTAAGACTACGCTACTTAAAAGCTCTTTGAATTAAATGAATAATGTTCTCCATAACTTTTTTTAAAGCATTATTTTTCAGGGGTAGCAGAACGTCACTGACATTTTATTTTTTTGTTTTATATTTTAAATCTCAACCCAAGCTCTTTGAGGTTGCGATTCAGTTGTTGTGGTGTTGCTTGTGTACAATGGGTAGTGTAATAGGTCTCCAGGCCTGAATGGAGGCTGCAAGCACTGTCACAAATGAATAATGAAGTGATAACTTGGAGCAGAAAAATACAAAGTGCTTCAGTAAGTTGCAAAAGGAAGCATTAAACAGTGGTTACTGTTGCACTTTAATACCATTGTGCCTCCAGGACACCGATTTTACAAGTTCTGAAGACAGAAAGTGCCGGGCTAAATTCATAGTCCAAAGCATGGAGATGAATAACATTTCCAAGAAATAGAGTAGTGAGCTCACTGATACATCAGTAAGAGCAGAACGTTTCCAGTGTTGGTATTTCCATGTACTTTTGATTTGAAATAGCAGAAAAAGAAAGAAAACAAAGTAAAATGTAACTTGTTATTGTAATAAGTGATGGCTTGCCACAGCGGTCAGTTGTGTGGCAGTATAATACTTGGTCGGAGGAGCTGGTGTGGGCGGTACTGGGAAGCAGTTCCTTTATCCTTTTGCCCTTGTTTTTCAGTGCTTGGAGAACTCATAGCAGTGGGTCATATTTTTTTATTCCTCCCTTCTCGCAGTCAGCAGGATGAAAGCAGGCCTGGAGTTGTTCACCTCTAAGCTCTTGTAGAGTAATGGCTATTTGGGTGCTTTTAATGTTACCGAGGTGCTCATAAAGACGAGAGAGGAAAATCAGAGATGAAATCTTACTCTCACCACTCTTGGTGGAGTCAGTCCATGTTAAAAGGCAGGAGAAGTTCAAACATACCTTAGCTTTTAGGCCTCCGTACTAGACCTACATTCTCAGCGTGTATAAATCGACCTTGCTCCGCTGACTTTCACAAAGCAAGACGAGTCAATGACTTGTGTTGGCTGCAGACCCAGCCTAAGTTCCTCTTGGTTTGGAATCTTTCACAGCTCAGTTTTTCTACAGAACTGATATGCACATAACACACATAATTTGGATCTCCATCTGTGAAGATGAGCTGGGCTTTGGCGTATGGCTTTCTTAAGATTGCATGAATTCATTTCCATCCATTATGTTTCATTGCTAGTTTCATACGCACTGAAAAATCCTGGACTGTTCTGTTCCATGGCACAGCTCTTCTTCCTCTGAAAGATTAAAATTTCCTCTTTGCCTGCATGGCTGTTGAGATCAGTACTAGTGAAAATACCGTTGTAAGTACAGTGTAAGTATCTATAA